CGTCAAGCTTCATCTAATAGTGGATCAGAAGAGGTAAGCTTCCATTATGTGCTATTATTTTAAAAGTAAACATGATGACTAATCATTTAACTAGTGAATGCATCTGGCATCATTACAGCTCACTGCAATCTCAAACTCCTGAGTTCAAGCAATTCTCTTGCCTCAGCCTCCTGAGTAGCTAGGACTATAGGCACACACCACCATGCCTAGATAATTTTTTAAAGACTTTTTGTGAAGATGGGGTCTTGCTGTGTTGCTCAGGCTGGTCTTGAACTCCTGGGCTCAAGCAATCCTCCTGCCTCAGCCTCCTAAAGTGCTGGGATTATAGGCTTGAGCCACCGTGCCAGGCTAAGCCTTTAATCTTTAACATTTATTTTTCTGTGACCACCTGAGGTTATTATACCGCTTCTTTATCTCCCATAACCCCTCTCTCATTTATATTTTTAAACTTTAAAGATATACTTAGTCATAATATCAGAAGATCGTAGTAACTTGGGAAACAGGGGTATTGGGACTGATTTTGGAGTGATTCTGCTTGTTTGTGTTAATAGCTATTCCTACTATTCATCTGCATATGAAATTTACTTCATCTATAACATTCAACTAGAAACCACTATAATTTCTTAAAGATCTTGACTCAGAAAGTATTAAGATTATTTCAAATTCTCAATTCATGTATATTTAATTGGTTTATATTTTTTCCCTTTCATTCTTTAGAAACATTATTTCATTGTCTTATCTCTTATTTTTCTATTTGTCATTGGTATTCTGCACATTCACCTTGTGTCTAATTTGGATTTGTTACGTGTTTTTCCCACAAGATTCATACATCTTTGATGTGAAGATTCATATCTTTTATTAGTCTATCTTTTATTTTGAAAATGTAGTCATAAGGTCTACTTGTTAACCTTATAGTACATGATCTCTACATTCAGGATCTTTAAAGGAGATACTGAATGTAGAGATCATGTACTATAAGGTTAACAAGTAGACCTTATAGTACATGATCTCTACATTCAGGATCTTTAAAGGAGATACTTTATTGCCAAAAGCAGGAGGATTTAGTAGAACTCAGATTCCTCAAAG